TGATTTTTATTGAATTTATTGGAAAACTAGGTTAGAGGTGTAATCGAAAATAATTTAGAAAAAATAGGTAAAAATTTGGGTTTGGGAGTGAAAGAAAAATTAGAAACAGGAGGTCAAACTGTAAATAGAAAAAATTATGTCACGTAGGACCGCCGAGTTAGCAGCCCGAACGAACTGAAGCACGCTGTGTAGCAAGACACGCTAACGTCGCATGCCTCGCGATGGAACGGCCCAGGATCGATCCCGCATGTGTGGAAAGCCAGAATTTGTTTCCCCCTTAAGCACGATAGGACGGACGATCTATATCAAAGCAGGATGGATATAAATATTTTGCATCACACGGGAACTCAAACCCTAGCCATCCGCCCCTGCCGGAGAAGAAAAACTAAACACCTGAGAAGAAGGCCGACCACCACCGCATTGGAGCCACCGCCAACCACCAAAAAAGGTAAAAATTCTCCTTATCTGTTCGAAATTTGATTTCGAGTACCCCTATAGCTAACTCAGAGCAAAAGAGATGATGGAAAAACCAAAAATTGCTGGCAAAATCCAGCAAAGCCATCGTGGCCAAAACCCCAAAAACTCTTTGATGAGCCCCTTTCCAATTCTCGTTTCACGTGATTTTTCGATTATTATGTTCACCGTCCTTTTTTATGTAGGTTAGCCGAAGAAAGAACCTCAGCTGTGAAGGAGAATCGGCAAAGCCGCCGCACCCGGAGGTCCTTCCGCTGGTAGGTTTGGTTTTTTGTGATATTCTGACCAACCAAGGCCCCTAACATATTTTTCTGCAGGGATACGGCAAAAATCGTCCAAAAATGGACCAAAACTGGCTAAGTCGATGTGAATGAAGGCGGAGCCACAGCGGCTTTGCCATGCCGAAACCCCAAAATTGGGCATTTAGACACCGATTTTGGATTTCTTTAGTATTTTTAGGTATGTGACAAGTTATTTAGATTCTGCAGAAAAATTTAGAAAACTCGGTACTTGTTAAGAGGCGTAATAGACAGTACAACATCCCGACACACCGATCTGGGTAAAAATCCTTCACCCTATTCTCTGTTACGGTAAATTGAGCCCTAATAATCGATAATTGTGTATTTTTATGAAAAATTAGAGAATCCTAAAAATAATTACAGGTAACTAGTGAAGTCGGAACCGATTAGTTCACGATTGTTCCAATTTCTTGTTTATTTTCTTGTACTGCTATATTGGCTTTTTATTATATGGTGCATGTTTTAAATTTATATTTTCTATAACCTTATTGATTTATCTAGTTTATTTGGCTATATACTATCAGCATGAATGCAGTTTAACTGATATGTGAATATAAAATGAGCTATTAGTATTGCATGGTTAATTGTTATCTTGATGTAAATCTGTAGGTAAAAGACTTACTAGGTACTCGGGAAATGGTGGACGGGCCATGTACATAGGGAACCCTACTGCGAATATTACTTCAGTTGGATGAGGCTAGGCCAGTAAGGTTTGGGAGATATAGTTCACCCTCATACCGGACGAAGTAACGAAGTGATTGAATATTTGGCACACATTACCGGACGGGATATAGGAACGACCAGTTAATTATTTAATTGAATATTAGGTTCACGAGTAGGATGATATCCCTATGGACCCCAGGGGTACCGATAAGCGGGTAAAAATAAAAAGTGATTGTCTCTTATTATCTTATAGATGAAAATAAAAAGTATATGAATATGGTCTTATAGGTTATTTTTGAAAAAACTCGTTATATAAGTACGGAATAAATGATTTTTTTTATATTAAATGTATTTACATCAAATTAAGGGCTCCATTAGTTTTTTTTTTAATTTTTAGCAATCTTCAATTTTTCGTATTTGTGATTAGTGTGACATTTTTACTGGCTAGTGTAGTTTACTCTTTCATTAACTATTCAGATCAAGAAAATCAAGA